ACAAAAGGCTCAGAAGTACACTTAGGGCCTTGTCTAATAACCTGCAAAATTAAAAAGGAAATATTTAGTAAGACTTTAGTAATGTTTAAATGAGCCCTACACAAATTGGCATCATACCAAAAGGGAGACACTTTAATGTGCTCTTATCTCATGAATTAACTTTTATGTGCATTGTATGTGCAGACGAAAACATTGGTAGCCTAATTATGGCTTAGACCATCACTTTTTTTATTGTTCCATATTCAAACATTAGTGGTCAAATTCTTCCTGAATTAAAATGATTTAAAGCATATCTTAATTTCCTTTGATACCAACCAGAGCAGAACGGGTTTCTCCGCTCAGGCTTGTTTTCTGGCTTTCGGGGGTTTGGTTGCTTCAGCACAGCCTTTGATTTTTCTATTCACTGTATCTTTGGGGATTTTTATTGTGGGTTTGTTTGGTTTGGATTTTGGGGATTTTTTGGGGATGGGGTGAGAGGAGGGGGCGGAAGTGAGAAATTTGTGTTTCTGGGCTACAAAATAGAAGAAAGCAAGCCAGAGTTTTTTCAAGCTGTCTTCATCAAAACTTTGCAAAGGGTAGAGGTTAGGGAGAGCCTGGAGAGGACAGAGACTGCACAACATTGTTCAACTCTAGGGACTGGTAAAATGGAGACCATTTCTTGGTGTTCTGGGTACTTGTGAGAGTGAGTCACTGTCTTCAGCGTGCTTAATGCCATCATTATATGGTTTATGGATTTTGCCCCTGCCTTCAGCTAAACCTGTGGATAAGTCCCTTGATTATCATTTCCTTTTGTCAATCTGTGCTTGTGTCTCTTCAATTTAAGAGTAGTACACTTGATTCCTGCTTGTAAGCTCCCCCCTCTCCTCTGATCTGCATCTGATCCACTTTCTGGGGAGAGGCCAGGTGTCTGAAACTGTGAGTTTAGCTGCTGAAAGAGGACTTTCCAAGCATTGAGCATCTCTTCCAAGCACACACTTATTTCCACTGTGGAAGTTTCCCTTGATCAAATTGGTTCCCCTATGCTGGGGAGTGTGCTGCCTCTGTGCGCAGCACCAGTCACCTCTGGAGTCAGCACATGTGGAGCCCACTCCTGCCTTTTCCAACCAATTGCCTGCTGTCCTGCTAGAATTAATATTAGCAGAGGAAGAGAGCTTTTAAATCAAAGCTTCTATTAAGTTTCTGATCTAGAATTCAAGATGATTTGAGGAAAGAGTCCTTGGCCTGACAGAAAAATAATTTTGCTGGAATCTCTGAAATTAATCCACCAGTTAAGGTAAGGCAATGGATGCACAGAGCCACTTCACTGTTCCTAAGGGTACAAAAGTACCAGTTAATTTCCAGCCTTTCGGAAGAAAAGCTATCAGGTGATTAGAGAGGTCCTTTTTTGGGGTCAGGAGTAAATAAATTAAATTTAATTATCTTTTCCGTCTCAAATCTCAGCAGCTGGCTCTTGCCAAGCAGGCACTGCTGTCTACTGTCAGCAGCCTTGGAAGTGCCAGTCCACCAAGCCAGTCACTCTAACAGCTGCGTCACTCTAATGCTTGGTGTACTCCCATGAGCTCCTAGCAGTAGAGGGTTGCGTGATTTGCATATGCTCAGTTCGTAGGGCCCACTCGGTTAATTCAGTTTTATTTGTTATTATCCACAGTTCAGATATATGTGCAAAAACCAGTAAGAGATTAATTTCCAACAAAATATTCAGCTTGGAAACAGTGCCTATTCTGGTCGTGTCAATGTCTGATTATAAACTGTTGAAACAAGTCTGCCACACAGGGTTTCTGCACATGTATAGTTCTTTTGAAATATAATATTCTCAAAAAAATATACAAATTAAGGGGCTGTTAGTCTTGATCTGCTCCTTTAGAGGCCAGCAAGTCATAACATCTGAGAAGCAGGCTCTTCACTTTTTGCTTCCTGAGATAAAATTGCAGATAAACATCACAGCAGACAAAAGTATTTCCTTCATGTGACATTATTAATAGTTCACGACCCATCATGAAGGAGGACAAGGGGTAAACATTCCATTCAGCTCTACGTAGGTCAAATCACCTCCTGGTCCAAGTTCTGTTTCTCATAGGCAGAGAGTGTCTCTACCTATAGACTGAAACCAAAACATTACAGGTCCCAAACTGGTCTTCAGGTGATAACGAGTTTCAGTCCAGTAACTGACTTAAAGATTAAAATATCAGCACATGAATGTATTGCACAGCTTACCAGAAAGAAATGTGTGTGTAAAAAGGTAAGGTCCTTTATACATACGCTAGCGCAAGCGTATGCATATGCTTTAAGGGAATGCTAGTGCTTATGGAAAATATGTCATTGATAGCTCTGGAAGTTGATATATCACAGTTACATTTCCTGGTTTGTTTTTAAACTCTTAACCTGGGCTTATATGGATGTTTTTGTTGTACTTCTAAAACCTGCTTGTTTTTCAAGACTTTTTGCAGACAACTAGCTCTTCCAGGGTAAGGTACAGTAATTTTTTTTGTGAGACACTGGTAATATTTCCCAATTTTATGAAGGCCATTTTATGTAGATTTAATTTAGAGTGTGCTCATATTGATAATTAAGGTAATTGTATGGGAATCTCTTTCCCAGTGATGGATTAGAGCAATACTTTGCACAGCAATAAGAAACCCTAGAAGGCTGTATTGTAACTGATTACTGCACCCCTGTAGCATTTGATATGTAGTTCACTTGACAGCTGTACTCTTTCTACACAGAAGCTCAGCATTTTAAAAAATAGATGCCTAAAATTAGAATAGTAACTCCCCATTTAGTTCCAAGCTTCAGCTGGCTCTAGGGAAATAGACTATAGAAAAAGTAGATTCAGGCCTTCAGGCACCAATTAAAGATCCTAATCTGATAAACAGTGATTATGAAAACTCTGAAAGATGGGGAAGGGAACAGCTTTCACTGCTGGTATATGAAAGACTTGATATCAAGACTTGAGACTGTGGGTTCAGGGTTATAAACACAAGATGTAAAAATAGGATGGCAAAACCTCAAGGAAAATAGCCAGGATGGGTTGCTAACCTGGCAACTGTTAGTTTAGGGACCTGATGATACTGTGTTATGAAGTGGTCCTTAAATGTGAGCCTAACCCTTTTGGTTCTGGAAGTTTGTTTTTTTTTCAGCTTCTCTTTCTGTTCAGCGCAGTTATAACTTGGTGGCTCCCAATTCAACCAGTATTGTATAAACTCCTGACCTTACTACCATGCACTTGTGTGAACAAATAAAATCTCAAAGAACCCTTCCAAATTTATGAGATCCACCATATCAGATGAGTATTTCACAATTTTAAGCATTTTGAGACAGTTGAGGTCAGTGAGGAATTTGACATCATCAATTTGGAAACCTGGTTGGAGCTTAAAACACAGTAATAACAGGGCCATTCTTGTTCCTGTAAGTAATAGGCGTGCTGTCAGCATTATAAGATGCATTGTGGTTTTATCAGAGAACCATGATCTCACAGAGCTTCGTGAGTTATTCACTCAGTGTAATTGCTGTAAGACTGGCAGATGCAGATGTTTGCCCTTTACATGAAAGAATAACAAAGTCTTGAGCTGCTCACTTGTAAGGAGAAGGGATGATGTGAATATTCCCTGGTCAGCTCCATTTTTCCTATATATATATATATATATATAAAAAATATGTGTGGAAGTTGGGAAGTGTCTCTGTAAAGGAGGTATATATTTGTGGAGAGGACAGGGAGATGGAGAGATGCTGAGACAGATGTGCCACTGTGATGCCTTAGGAATGGTTGAAAGAATTGTGGATGAAAACCCTTGTAGATGTTCGCCAGAGTGTTGGAAAAGTTCCAGGTGCTGCCATTTTCCTGATTAGTTCATAACTAACTCCATACAAATGCAACAAATTTTTTGGTTGACCCTTTACATCATGAGTTCATGATCTCATTGATCACTATTCATTATTCTTATGACACAGAAACTAATTCTAAATGGGAAGAAAAATGCACAGAGAATCCCTTCAGAATTAGGGAAAAGAAAACCAGCTTTCAGGAAAATGCAAGGAATATGGGTGTCTTACAAACTTTAATAATGTTTGTACGTAGCATTTTTTGCCTGGATCATAACTTAGTGGCATACATTGTTGTATCAAGTGGAGAACTGGATCAGCTGCAAATGCAAAATAAGTCCAAAGGAGAATATTCTCTAAATCTTCCATGAGTCTGTTTATTTGAGGAGGAAAAAAACATAAATGAGAAGAGGCAGACAGTGTAGCCTTTTTTGTTTTAATACAGTTTTCTTTTTTACGTGTGTGGTTTGTAGGTTATGGAGGCTTTATGCATGTCTTGAAATTCCTCTCTGCCAGAATTAGTGCTGAACCAAAGCCTGTTTTGACCATACTAACTATTCTTTACTGAAATAATTCATTTACTGGCATCAATAGTTTAAATATTGCTATTTGCAAATAGTCCTGAACTGATTTTGTGTCTCTGTTGCTTCTAACTTAATGGTTCACCCTGTTTTGTTTTCCATTTGAGCTATCGGTTGCTTAACAGGAATGTTTTATTTGTGTTTATTTAGAAAGTGTGATGGTCAGTGCCAGCTCTCCCATGCCAGCACATGTACTGTCCTTTAAGCCAAACAGGCATAGCTTAATGGCTAACAAGGTGGTACTGTCATGAATATTTCCATTAATGTCTCTGCAGGTAGAGCAGCAGCAATTGGAAAGTCAAGCTCAAGAAAAAAACAATAGCATCCTTGGGGTCTTAAAAACTCATAACAAAAAATGTAAATAGGGGAAAGGATAAAAATTTTGTATTGGTAGCTACCCTCACACCAACAAATAATTAGCAGGAGGTTTTAGGTAGCTTTTTGTCTAACATAGGGTGGCCATAACTGCCCCCTCCCTGCCATGCTTTCCTTCCATTTCTAACTCCATTGCATTTCCTTTTCTGGGGACTCATGTTGTTTTCTCTTCCACCTTCTCTCTTTCCATCCCACTGCATGCTTCTTTACTTGGTCTGACCTCAGAGAGGAGGAAGAGGAGGAAGAGGAGGAAGAAGAACAGCCAGTCACAGAACCTAATACTGAGGATGAGGGGGAGGAAGAGGCCTCTAGGCAGGTCAAAGCCAGGTACCGGGGTTCAGCATTGTCCCTCCACCTTTTCCTTCCTTGGGCTCTGGCATGAACTCACCAGCACCGTGTGCAGCAGCATCTGCCTTTCACTCACGTTCCTATGTCACCTGTTAAGGCCCACCCCACAAGGATATACTTTTGCAATTTCAAGCTTTGTTGGTGTGTTTGTTCATGGAAAAATGTTTAATTATATAGGTTCCATGCAGTAAGAATCATCTCCAGTCACTTCCTTTGTACAAAATGAGTAATGCTTACAAATCGTAAAAGATTTAGTTGAAAGCAGGACTTCTAAGCATGAATTAAGTTTATCTTTTCAGTTAAGGCAATGGTGAAACTGGAACCTCTTTGCTGAGGTAGTTATTTGGTTTCTTAGGTTTGTGTCCCTAGATTCTTGATACCACCTTATTAACAATAGCTGTCACTATGAAGAAAAGTGACATTTTTTTGAATGCTGCCTATGATTTTTATCAATTTTGCTCATGTTTTAATAGGAAAAAATTACTTTTAGGGAAAGCTGATGAATACATATATATCATTTTATCCATACCTGCCTATTTGTGTATATAAGGATATAAACAAACCACCTCTCAAAAAAGTATTCTAATGTAAAATTTTCCACTTATTTCTGAGGTATATATGGATTTGGCATCTGGCAACTTTATCCTAATAAATTGGAAGAACATATTTTCTTTCTTCCAGACAGCCGCTTGATTTAGGTTAAATTGTTTGGCTTTGCAACTCGGCAAATGAAACTGGATTTTTTTCTTTTAAATAAACCGCATTCATGCAGACGCTGTACAGCATGGAGGGGAGAAAGGAAACTGTTTAATGTGCAAATTCCAAAGAAAATACTGTACTGTTGTTATTAGTGTCTTCCAGTCTGCAAATCTTGCCAATGGCTGCCTGAAATTTTGAAATTAAGTGATAATTTCCTCAAAACCGATTCTTAACAGTCAAAGCTAAGGCAGACCTTATTATTAGATCACATGAACATACTAAAATACTGTTTAAAAAAAAAAAACAACAAGGAAGAGTTGTATAAAGGGTGTGATGTGCTTTTAGCTTATTGATCTTTTAAAACAATAGTCACTTCGAGATAAGTGGGTGATATTCCCATTGCTTTTCTAAATACTCCTTTCATTATCACTATAGAATAACAGAAATGATCCGCACCCTGGTTGTTTGTGTTAGATGCTGTCAGGATTGGTAGGACTAACCTGGCTTCAGTGACTCCTGTACACCACAGCTGGTGCAATATAGGAAGGTTTCCAGATTGCCCATGGTGTTTCTGTTCTGAGAATGATTACCGGGTATATACCTGATGAATAAATTCATAATATCCTCGTGTATAACATGTATTATGTTTTTGTTGCATACGCTGTGCCAAACCCACAGTCCTCAGATAAGGGCCATGCTTTGCATGCCTGTAGATGGATTGCAGAGGTGAGAATGAAATCAGCCACCTGCGAGTGATCCAGCCCAGAGCCCATTCACAGCATTTATGCTGGAGATGCTAGTGAAAATAGATATCTCAGAGTTCAGATCCCATGGCTTTTCACGTGCCTTGCTGCTTCTGTCACTCACCAGTACCTGCCTTCACTAGAGCAAAGCAGATGTGTTTTCTGTTGCACTTGATGCTGCTCTTCAAGTCACTAACGATGCTGACACTCAGAGAAATTAGTGCGTTCATACCTAGACAAATGATCTGGTAAGGCATTGCTTTTGAAATAATCCTAAACCTTAATTTTGCCAGAACAATGCTGATTGAGTATTTTTTTATTTTCATCTTTGGTGGATGAGCGTTTTTAGTAAAAATATCAGCTCCCAGGGAGGATGATAATCAGATATCTGGCCTTCAAGAGGCAGACATGCAGATTGTATCTTGAAGCATCTATACTCTGTGGACCATGTTCTCCAGCATGTTGAAACGGCTTTGAACTGCTCTGGCAATGCTTACAACCTAACTTGAAATACTTGAAAAGCATTCAGAAAATGGTTGTGAAAAGGTCCCTGAAAATTAGTTCTGAAGCCTGTGGGTTAAATCCCTTCTTTCTCTTTAAGCTGAATTGCTTCCATTCCTCAGTATTTCCATCTCCAAGAAGAATCCCACTGGCATACAAAGATGTGAGTTTTCTTTACTTAAAAAGAGGTGGTTGTCTAAATTTTGGAAGCTTTTGTTTCTCTGACTCTCCTTGACTTTAGGGTTTTTCCTCCAAGTGGTACTATCTATTGATCTCTCTTTTCCCCATTTTTGTCTCCCTCCCTTCCCTTTCTCACAATGTTTTCCTCCTGCAGTGGGGTCCCAGGTGCGTGGGAGGCTGTGAATGAAAACCTCTCACGGTGTTCTGATTCTTCAGCCATGTCCAGTGCCATTTCTCCAGCTGAGAGGCCTCCCTCCTGCTCTAGAGCAAAGAGCTCTCCTAGCAGCTCCTCTTCTGTGCCTGACTCATCTGTCTCTCATCATAATTCTGTCCTTTCATCACCACCTTCACCTGCAGCAGCATTGCTAAGTTCTTCCCAAAATTCATCAGCATCCATTACTCCAAAGGCATCTCCAACGGTGGAGAAATTACCTTATGTACCACATACTCCTTTTCACCTCTTCTCGTATGACTTTGAAGAGACTCCAGCATCTGTGAAGGAAAAGGAAGCAGAAGTGATGAGGGAAAACAGGTAGATTTTATACAGCTGACATTAATTTTTAGATAAATGAATAACACCTTTCAAGAGTTTTATAGTGGTAATAATGCACTCTGTGTTGTATTATTTCCAGAACATACTGTATTAGTTTTAGTCCTGTAAGCCTGTATTTTAACATGATCGATATTCTCCCCTTGCCTTTGTTGCCTTCATTTCATTTTACTCCTCTTAAAGGTCTACAGTTAATATGTATTCTGGCTTCCTTTATACAGCAGTAGATAAATAACCTGTGATTTGGAAGATCACAGAAACGACCGCCATTTTGCTCTCATTTACAACAATGTAATTTGCAGGCATTATTTCATGAAAATTAATGGGGCTTTTCTGCTATAAAACCAAAAGAGATCAGATCAGCAGTTGGAATTCAGGGGTGAAATCCTGGCTTCAAAGACTGAACTGCCAGATCCCGAATTTGTTGTTAGATTAGAGTGCATATCCCTGTCATGTGCAATTTCAACTCATGCTTGTAATAAAAGAAGTAGATTAAACCCTATAAAGAGAATATAGCACTCAGAATAGACAGTTTTCACTCCACAACATATGCTCAGTTCTATGATGCTAAAGAATAACCTTAAAAAGAGGTTGATGATTTTTAGCTGTCTTTCCCAATGGTCAGAGCTTTTTGAATTACGTGCTGAAAAGGTACACGTATATTATGAGTGTATTTATTTCTTCCTCTCTCCAGCAGTCCTTCTGAATTTCTGCATGTGAACAAACATTTTGATTCCTCTGATCCTTTTAATTTTTGATCTTTCTCTTCTAATAGGTGTGTGTTTTGTGCCTTTTTTTCTTTTTGCTGGAAAGCCTGTAAATCCAAGTAGATGTTGGCAAGGAGCTTAGTTCACACATCTTGCCTTACCTGCAGCTTGAATGCTGGGTTTCCTCTAAATTTACATTTTCCTACATTAGTGCAATTTTCCCTTAGGCCTCCACAGTCATTTATTGCTCTCTTTGCTCTTTATATTTTTTAGAGTAGATTTCTAAATGTCTCGTGTTCCTGCAATAGCTCCTGTTCCTGCAATATTTAGTATTTCTGCAGTGATGTTTTTTTAACTCTGCCCATCCTTGTGCTTCCAGTTACCACACAGGATCTAGGGCATGGTGTGGGGGAGGATTGTGCTGGGGTTATCTGGAGAAACAGGAGAGCAAAGCTTGCACAATTTAGGCAGTAATGTGTTCACAAAAGAGGCAAATGCCTGGGGTTTCCTCAGAGTGAAGTGTCCTGGGACAAGGCCATTGCATCTGCATCGGTTTGTGAGACAAGAAGGGAAAGTGGAAGCGATAACCCTTACCAGAGGAAGGTTAGAAAGATAAACATTGTGTACAGGATACTGACTTACCTGGTGTGCTTATTTTGCCTTGCTACTCTTCCAGCATTTCTCTCCCTCTAAACTTGATATTTAGTGATGGAATGTCCAGGCTAGTCCCTCTGAGTTTGATTTTGTTAATACTTGTAGTCTGAGTCCATAGAAGTTATGTTCTCTCCATTTGAATGAAAGTTATCTTTGGACTAATTGAAATCAGTCTGAAAAAGGACTCTTTTTCTTCTGAAAAGGCTGTTTCAGCTTTTTCATGGGGAAGAGGAGAAGAAAGGCAAATGTAATGGTTGATAAGGTTTCCTTTCAGTTGATTGAAATGGAAATCGAGGTTTCTGTTAGTGTCAGGAACATACCAGATGAGCTCAGAGTTGTTGTCAGGACAGCAGAGTTTTCTCATCGCTCACTCAGTACTGGCATAGCCAGAATACAGAAGACCTGTGCCAGGTCTGTGCTACTAGAGGAACCCCATGCTGTCCATCTACGCAGCCTTCCACAGGGCCACTAGACAGTGGGGCTTGGAGGGCAGGAATGCCAGGAGGGCAATTATTTCCTGCAAAATTCCTTTTGGAGCTCAGAAATGTGCATATTAGTGTTTGGTTTTTTTCCAAAATTGTTCTTCTGTTCCTGGGCAGCCAACATGGTGTCTCAAAAACAGATGGTGGTGGTAAGGTGTTTTCTAAAACCTGAACCAGGAATTGTTGCTGAAGGCAACGTGTTCTCTAAAGGCTGATTGCTTCCATTATAAAACCCCCTAACTGAAATCTGCTTTGATTTTAACACGGGCCTTGGCAGGCAGCAATGCTGTTGTACCCTAAGGAATGAAGCTTGAAACTTTGAATGAATTTTTGCATGGCTAGATGAGTGTGCTAAATGGAGCTGAAGGAAACTAACCAGCCTTTTCAAAGAAATTTGCTGGCTGAAGTTACTGAGTGCTGATGTGTATGAGAAAAGAAGCAGCTGAGAAAAGATACAGTGAAGGAAGGTATATTATGTCTTGTGAGTTATAATCAGAAAAATTATGTTGCTCCTTTTCCTGAAGTGAATTTTGATGTTTGGGTAAGTTGGCCTTGCAGAGTACTCACCTACAGAGCATCATATGCTGTCCATGTGTAAAACAGTATCATCTGAATATCGTGTGAATAGAAAAGTTAACATTTTCCCAAATCAGGAATCTCTCTTGACTTGCTATTTAAGTACAATGGTTAAAAGTCACAGCAAAGCAACATGACTGCCTTTTCTATTCAGTACGGTAGCCAGGGTGAAAACACTGATACAAGGGACTCCAGAGAGGTGGTCATTCCAGGAGCTGTGGAAACAATTTCTCTTTGATAAGCAAGCTTAAAGTCAAGAAGACTAGGGTGTTTTTTTTTTAATGGAGGGAATGGCTTCCAGAAGTATGCCTTTTTAACCATGGTGGTAATTATTTACAGATATTGTAAGAAATGGCACATAAGATACGAAATACTGGGGGAGGGGAGGGGAAAGAAAATATTGACTGCTTTAATTGAAAAGAATGTGGATGCTTTCCCTTTATAATGCAAACATTGTCAAACAATGGGTGTCCATGTTCAGATCATGTCTAGGGAATACGGCTGTTTTCCTTAATTTCACTACCTGTGAATGCTGCTGACTTGGACTGGTTTGATCCCTTTTCTGGGGGATTAGCAAAGCAGCTAATAATTTTGAGTAACAGAGTAGTGATTTAATTATTCCTGTTCTGAGTTGTCAATTGAGACGACCATTATAATCTCTCATTATTTTCCATACCAATAGCTCACTATGTGAATTAGGTGTGTCTGTGACATAGTAGATACTAAAGTGAGATGATAGGTTGCATATTCTGAAGCTGGGATTAAAGCAATATTTTCAGAAGGTGGAGGTGTAAGAAATTCTGGGGTATGGAATCACTGCCATCCCCTAACAAGAGGATTTACTGTTACATATCTGCTTGCTGATGGATTCTTTCTGTCTCTCCCTTTCTCCTACCTTCCTTCCCATTTTTTCAGATACAATAGCTATGGCAGCAGCTCTTACTCTTCTCCACGACCTTACTCTGGTGTGAGTGCCCCTGCAACACCCACTTCTCGTTATGGGACAACTCTTTCACCGCCTCAAGAGACCAAAACTGACAGGTTTGTAAATTAGTCAGTGTTTTCATACGTTTCTTTATATACAGGAGAGAAGTGTTCTGAATGTTTATTGGAAATATCTTCTAGCCAGATCTTTTCTAACACTGGAAAGAAAATGGACAAAAATCTAGATGTGTTCATGTCCCACTCAAGCCTTTCTCTGACTTGATGTTAAAGGCTGGATGTTTTTCTGCCCCACTTCTGCTTCTTTCACTTCAATCAGTAAAACAGAGTTGCTTCACATGTACGCTGTTCTAAGTATTAAAAGGTGACTTAAAGCACATTTTATTTCTTTCCATTAAAAAATAAATAAATTCAGACAGATCAATTTTCACTTCTATCATCTTAAATCAGCTATAAAATCTTAGAAATGTGCTTAGCTCAGAATTTCCTAGGCCATAATTTTGTCCTTCCTTGAAAATACTGACACATCTGATTGCATTTTATTAAGGGCAAAACGTTTCTTGCTGTAAATAAGGCAAACTCACAGTAATCCAGCAGCTATCAGCTCAGTGATAACTGGTTTTAGGGAAAACCAAAACAAAATAAACAGCAACACACACAAAAACATACAAAAAGTGGGGGGGCAGGGGGGGACACAAACCACATCAACAGCAAAAAAGTAGTATTTAGAAGGATCAGAATACTCTTTTGAATCATGTAAGGTGCTAGTGATAGACGATAGGAAAATGTTACGGATACATGGAAGAAATTCTTGACAAGAGATTTGGACCATCAGAAATGAACTCAGTGTTACAACTTGAAAGTAGATGATGGCTTCAAAGGATGTCATGCTGAGTTTAAGGAGGAAAGGTAAAATTTTTTAGTTAAATAATTTAATATAATAACTTAATTAAATAATTTCCAGTTAGACCAGATGGGCTTTGGATTGTTTGTTCCTGACTTGGCCTCTAATTCATAAAAATGCCATCTCCCACCCTTTTTTTTTACAACTGAAGGCTTTTGCAGGATCCTTTCTCTATATTACAGTTAATTTTTATTCTTTATTATTATTGTTATTTCTACATGTTTACAGAACATACGTCTATATGTGCTTGTGTGTGTATGTATATGTTTGAGCCTACCTAATGCCTCACATTCTTTCCAGTCTACTACTCATTGTAGACTATTCCAGCATGCTTGTATTTGTAGCCATGAGGTATTGATTTAATCCCTTTTTTTCAAGTGGGTAATTACATTAAGTTTATCTTTGGATAAAGGCATTGTTTTTCATTTGCTCATCTTCTTAGAATAACTTGCCTCGGTTTGTCTCTCCTTATCTGAGTTACATTATTGCATAGTGAAACCATAATAAAAAACTCATTTCAACCTCTTTTACCTCATCAAATTAGATGCAAGATAAGCAAGGCTTTAAAGTATCCTGCTGCTTTTGAAGTTTTAGGTTTCCAAGCCCCTGCTATCTTAGGCTTCTGATTGCTGCTGCAGCAAAGAAACCCCAAAGTGGTCAAACATTGATCAAATGTTTGCTAAAGATCATTGGGCCTGTCCTGCAGGAGATTGATCTTTCTAGCCCTGCTCAAGTAAAGGAAGCAAGCTTTCATTGCAGCATGCACGTAAGTGTGTTGCTGCTTTGGAGCCAAAATGCTTGGCCTCACAGGATGAAGCTGAGCTGTAACATTCACAGGTTCGTGGAAAGTCAGGCCATAAGGGAGCTCTGTAATCAGCTGTTGTGGGTCTGACAGGCTAAATGAAAGACCTCGTACCTTCTTGTATTTTCAAGTGGCAGTTCATGGATTCTCCAGGAAAACATTCCTGTGTTCAACACCACTGCTAGAAAAAGATTTCGTATTTTGAGGCCAGTTTGTCTAGCAGCACCTTCGAGCCATTACACCTACTGCTGCTTTACTCTGTGAGACTGGAAAGAGCTCTACCTTTAACTATGAGACCTCTCATACGTTTCAAGTGTCTGAAAACTGTGCTCAGAGTTGAATTTTTTTCCTTCCTTCAGGTCACGTTTGCCGCTTTCCACCTCACATGATTAGAAATCTGCACTCTTGTTTAAATGTGCAGCTTGCTGTTCATGGTAGTTTAACTTACCAGGATTTCTGAATATTTGTATTTGGGGGATGTTACAGCCCAATGCTTTTTGTACATTAGTCTCTGAGATGAAATATGTGTGTATGCCACAGGCATGTTGCCTGCAGAATAGATGCAGTTCTTGAAAGTTAATCCATTTTACAGGTTCAGATGCCCTTTTGCATCAAGTCTTGGTCTTGTTCTTTCTGAGTACGCCGCCATTGCTGTTGTATAGTTCAGCAGGCTCTAATGGAGTGACTGCTTTGAAGGGCAGAAGACTGCTTTTATTTCATCGTCCTGAAAGACATGCATTGCAGAAATGCTACGCATAGATCAGCAGATAGTTTTTGCTCATTGGAGTAGGCTGTGTAGTGCATGACGCAATGCTTGGCACTAATTAGTAAGTGGAAAGTATTGTTGAAGTTTTCACAGTCTTTTTTTAACGGTGTTTCCCTTAGATTATGTAAACATTATTTCCTACCTCCTCATGGTAAAAATTTACATGGATTCAAACACAAAAAATAGTTAAAAGTGGGGAGGAAGACACTTGATAAGAAGCAGATGCATATACATGGTTAGCTCCAAGGTGTGTTTTCTGGTTTCAGTAAACGATTACAGTTATCCAAGCCTCTGCAGAAAGATTCCTGTCTTTTATCATGCAGGGAACGGCTTCAGATGCAGTTCCTGGTACTGTTTATCTGACCTTCGAGAATGAAGAGGAAGGAAGAAGCATCATTTAGAGCAATGCCCAGCAAAATGATTCATGCTCCACTCAGTTACCCTGACAGGCCTTTCAAACCTCTTGGCTGCATTTTGCTTATGTAAACAAGAGGTAGAACTTAGGTGGAAAGAAGCAGTGTGGTTGACATTTTGATGTTCATACTTTTAAAACCTTCTTTGGCTCAGATCAGTAGGGAATCCAAAAGCAGTATAATTGAGTGCAAAGTAACTAGACTTTATTCTTTGAAATCCACATAATGTATATATTTCTGATTGTACAGCAGAAGAAAAGGCTTACTTGACTGTTCCTTGGTTTCTAAATTCAGCTTCAGCCTTTTGCCAACTTCTTGCAATACTGTTGTGTTCTCTCATTTGTCTGGGTCCCCTGTGGAGAGGCATGTTTCTGAAGTGCATATTGCAGCCTTAGGAATCCTGCTGAAGTAGGGCAAATTGCAGGGCACTTTCTGTTCAGCTCTTCATTGGGAGAGAAGAAAAAGGGGTATTGGTTTTCTCATATGTCTCTGCTTGTGGAAGTTGTTCCTAAGGCATAAGAAGGATAACCCAGTCCTCCTGTTTTCAACTGCTAAAGACTGCTTTACTGCATAAACACACTGCTCACACTCTTTATGACTTAAATCACTAATTAACTCTCTCCCAGTTCCTAAAGAAGAAATAAAAAATCTCAGTTTCTTAGCCTCATAAATTTTGGCAACAAAGGGGAAGAGCAAGACATGGCTACAGCACACCAGGGAGGAAGAATTTTTCTGTACCTACAAGTTGTTTCTTTGCCTAGGGGAAGAAGGTATTTTAAGACTCTTCCATATTTCCATGGCTTGTGCTCACACATAGACTATTTCTGTTTAGCTGAAGATTGTCTTCTCAGACTCTGAATATAAGATGGTCACTCAAATTGAAAGCTCCAGCCTGGGGCTGTCTGTAGCTGGACAGCAATCTCATTACTTGCAAAGCTTCACACCCCCTCATAGTGTGTTTTCGGTGGTGAAGTGTATGCATTGGTGGTCATGGCCATAGTTAGAGGAGACCCTGAAGGGGTCTAACTTCTAAGGTAAGAGCTCATGAATTCAGCACCAGCTTTAATTCATTCTGTTGACAGAAAAAAAAGTCCTGCTGGTGTTTGCCGAGTTATATTTCTTCAAATGCATTTGCCAGGAGACAGAGTTCCCAGTGGGCATAATAGTCAAACAGTAGTGCACTTAGCCTTGGTAGAAAAGCTATCTTCTCAGGGCACTGTGTGCCAAGGGAGCAGGATTTCATGGTCACCATTCTCTTACTCTAGCTATTAAATCAAACACCAGAAAGTTCGGCCTGCAAAGATCCACTTCTGGGTCCTCATGGCCAGTCACTGTGAATTTAGTGTCCAGCACTGGCTGGTCCCTCTGGGCTCTCATACCAGAGACAGTGGCCATTTTTAGTTGTAGTGAATGCCAAGCACACCTTTTACTCTGAATGACATAATGAGGAAGAATAGCTTAGATAATGGTGGCCCAGGGCAAAAGCCTCAACTTTACTGCTGAGATTTTTAGAGAAGCGACCTCAGGAATTGCTCGATGATTTACTTTTTGGGAAGCAGTGCTGGCTTACACTGGCTTAGCTGCTTGTTGAACTACTGTGCAAACAGTATTCTTGATTGCATATATTTCAACAGAAAGCTTAACCTTATTATGGTTTCTGATTGCAACATGTTGCTGGCTGAACATGCAGTGTGCAGTGCTGATGCTCAGGGGACGCCTTAGCCTTGGTTCCATGGGCAGGCTCTGCAAGCCACTTCCAGGTGAACTGTGATTCATATGAGCATGAGAAGCTGTGGGTTGGAGAAAGACAGGAACACAGCGCGAAACCTGTACACATAATGCTGTGAGAGGAGTGTGTATGTGGGAAGTCCTCAGGCATTGCCCTGGCTCTGCACAGCTCTGCCCCACTATAAGCTTTATTTTGTGTAGCCCCTCAGGCCAGTTAAAAGTCTAACATTAATCAGTCTTCTCTTGGTCATTCTCAAGTTTCTTTCTCAAAGGAAGCATTAGTCAGTAGTTTTATCTCTCAGTTTTGTGTTTATTTTTGAGAGAAGTTTTGTAAAGATTCCTCAAGTAATGTTTAGTCTGTTTGCAAAATCTTATATCAACACGCTTTTGAATTTGCCGTGTCACATAGGGAGACATAACACACAGAGTTTCTTTAACTGTGAAAAGCAATATGGCTCTTGGCAACTTTGCCTCCTCTTTTGTCTC